CCCTAGTATTTCACAATGTCTAGCACATAGTGGTGACTGAATGTTACTTGAATATTGATAAACCTGAAAGACAGGTCAAATTTAGCAAAGTTTATGAATATCAATAGAGTTACTAGCAAAACATGGCTGTCAAATTAGCTAATGTGGACTTGGATATCATTAACAAAAGAAAAGTATCTAAAAGTAGGGAGGTGGTCCTCCTGTGTTACTCTGCATATTGATGCTATTCCTTTGAAAAACGACCAAAAATGTAGCAACTTGGAAAGGACACGATGGGTGCTTTCAGATATGTTAGGCTATAACGTGGCAAAAGGAAAGTAAATTTGTTCTGTGTGTTTCAAAGGATTAGATCTGGGCCTGTGGGGAATATTAAAAGAAACGTATTTAGATCAATATCTGGAGCATGCCACTCTAGAAAATGCAAATGGTTTTCTATCAGTGAAGATGTGTATAACAGGCTAGGTGAAAATGGGCAGATATATCATAGGTAAGCTTCCTAACAGAATTTAGGAGCTTTAACTACATATTCTTTAGTGACACATCAAAATCTAAGACTCCAATAGTCACTGATTTTATCCTTGAGTCCTCAATTTATTATGAAATTGAATGCATGTGGTACCACACACACAGTGGATGCTTGTAAGTATGTTTAAGTGTATGGAAAATAAAAAGACAATCTTGTTCATTAAGAAAATATGTAAATATAGAAAAGCCTTGAAAGTTTTGAGTAGTTATTGTACTATATTTGTTCAGAACAGCAGAAAAAGTTTTTCTCTCAATACTATTTGTATTACTCTTGAAAAGAAACTCATGAAGTAAGATATATTGTAAAATTCTGGATCTAAAACAAACAAAAAACCTTCAAAACTACAGATTTAAAACATTATTAAATTAATACATTGTAGAAAGAAAATCTGCAACTTTAAAAGAAAAATATCTGCAGGTTATAGAAGAACATAAAAAAAATGGATGATGGTAGTGACATTTCAGAAGACCATCTGTTTAAACATTTTATATATATACCAGCAAAACAAACACAAATTACAGTTACAATGTACAAACAAAAGATGGTGACAAAGAAAGAAAAACTGACTGTCATAGGGTTGACTTACCGTATAAGATTTCAAAATGTATCCCAATATAAAACACAGTAGACAAAACATATGAACACAATAAAAATTCCAGAAATTGGTTAAAAATGTTTACAGAAGTTAATATATAAAGAAAAGAAAACAAAACAAAACTGATGCAACATGAGGAAAAATAATAAATAATAATAAATGATGTGCTAACTTGCCTATCAGTAGTTATCACATCATACCTTTCAACAAGTTCTAGGTTACTCAAATCATTCACTGAATCACTTCATTTATTAATTGTAAAAAGTACAATGAAATGCATCCCACCCTAGCTATGGGTTAGTGAATAATCTAGCCCATAAATTTGGGGGCTATTGAAGAAATAGATTTTATTATCAAAAATAATATTTTAAAATATAGTATTGTTACATCATAACAAACTTCACAAATAACCAGAAATTACAATTTTTCATCCAAGTGGCATGAAAGCAGTGAAAATATTTAAGGTTTGTAAGGCTATAGTTAAAAGGGTGTTTGTAGATACTGTTGATGACAGTACCTAATGTTAAAAAGAACCATCAAAATGTTCCTACCCACGCAAATGTTGGTTTCTAAATGCTATTGCCAATAAAAGAAACCAGGATTCCTTAGAAAACGGCTGAAACTAGGGCTGAGGCAGGGAAAACAGAGATGAGCCTGGAGTGCTTCATGGTGCCAGAGGGTAAGGGAATGAGTAAAAAGAGTAAGAAAGAAAATAAGGGAGTAAATAGCCTGTGGTGGGGAAACCTGTATGAAGGCCACTGAAATGAACCTGAAAGAGCTCCCAGTGGCTATCTCTAGAACAATTTGAACCCCAAGTAAACAATAATGGTATTGGATTATAGACCAAAGAGTAAAATAAATATTCATGAGTCCACACTGATATAAACAAATAATTGTATAAATAAATACACGGGAGAGAAGGGATAACTCTTCCTTATAAAATAATTGTACTGTTAGCAATCTCACTTAGGGGAAAATATCTGAGATGTAGTTAAAGACTTAAATGCTCAAAGATACTTCTGTGTTAATTGCAGTATTATTATAATAATTAAATATTTGAAAGAGTGGTTTGTCTTTTGATGAGTTAGTTTACAGTCATTATAATCTCATTTCCAGAGAATATTTATCAGGAAATATTCATAATATAATGGTATGCAGAATATTAAGAAGAACATTTGTATTTATAATGTGTACTCCAGTTTGGTTACAGTATGTGTGTGTGTGTGAGTGTGTGTGTGTATAAATACAAGATATGTTCAAAATGTTTATGTCTAATTGAAATAAGAAAATAAAAATCATATGTAATTGTATTTGTTTTTCTTAACGAATTTTCTAAATTATTACTTTCCTAATAAAATTTAAAAATACAAGTAAATTGGAGTACGTGTCATCAATGGATGTATATCTCCAATATCTTTATCTGAGATAGTTTGAGGGATAACATAGGTAAATACATGACTTTAGGTTATTCATATGCTTTATATTACTTCAAAAAGCCACTATTAATTTCTCTACTGCATTGCTTTATGTGACAAAAATCAGGGTAGATACCAAAAGTGCTTTTTTCTTAACTTTAGAAGACTATATAAAAATAATAATTATTTTTATATAATAATAATATAATATAATAATATACTAATGTAATGTATAATAACAATGTAATAATAATTTTTATTTTTATTAAATAATAAAAATAAGCATTAATATTTTATTATACAATAAAAGTAAATTTTTATTAAATAATTGAGTTAATCAATTCCACTCTGACATACAATATCCGTAATAGATTTTAAATATACTTGAGCACAGATTCATTTGTAAAACATCTATTTATACATGTTAACATGCTCTTTTATGTAGCAATATCTTCTCGAAAACAGGCACTCTATATACAATTGTCTGACAAGTAAAATGTTAACGAAAGCTTTAACTTTAAAATTATTTGACGATACTATAGTAAATAATTTTCAGACCCAAGTATACATTTTCTTTTACACATTTAAATAGTTTCTTATGTCCTAAAAATGTTTATAACACAAAAAAGAATGGATGAAGTAAAGATGGATAATAAATCAAAGTAATAAAATCAATCAGAGTGCACTATGTCAAATATTGACTCTAATTTGATCTAGTTGTGACTTCCACATCGGCAGCAATTTCTGTTTAGTTTTAGACTGTATCCAAACAACGTCTCACATAAAAATGAAAGCAATTCATCTAATTTTACAGATGATTTACCTACCAAATATTTTTACTTTTTAAGAAGTAATTTTGTTTGCATAAACGCTATCTTCCAATAAAATACAAGACAAATAAAATGTATAATTTCAAATATTTTAAAACTCTGTTCTTGTCAATGAGAAGTTTTCAGGAACATCAAAACAGAAGAGGTAGCCAAATTCAGTATCCCTTATCTCATTTCTGCTAAAAAATATTAAGCTTGAAAACCCATCAATGGACAGAACAAGTCACTAAACTGGATTCTGCCCCCTTATCTCATTTTTCAGAGCACAGCATGTCTCTGGCTCATAGTTGATAGTCGATAAAGGTTCAATTAAAGAAAATTGAAGTATACTATTTCTTTATGACGTAAGTTATGACAAGCTTTCATTTTGATTCATTTAAAGTTATGGAAGTGGACTAGATTCATTAACTAATAAAACGGTTATTATTAAGAAAGAAGATCCCCATAGACAATTAGACCCAGTAGGAATGAACATAAAGAACATTAGTGTAAACTTTCCACCCATGCGAATGTTCTACAGAGGATGAGGACTATCTACACTAAGAACACTTTAGAAAGCCAAGGTTTACAAATATGATTTAGAAATGGTTCTACTATTAATCAAGTGATGAAAGATTGATGTTTCACATAATTAAACTCCTGATGAAAATGTGAGTAATGAAAAATCAGGAAAACATAAATTTAATTTTATAAGTGTCCATATTTCCTTATGACTCATTTTCTTAAAGTAGTAAGAAAAGCAGATTTCAGAAGAAGAGGGAAGGATGACACTGTTTATTCTTTCCACTTAGAATATCTAGCAAAGGGGCCAGGACAACTCTTACAGCATTCTTACTATCATAAAGAATGCAGATGTTTGTCTTGGTTTTTGTTATCAAAATTAATCAAATTAACAAAAAAATTTCAACAAAAAAAGCCATTTTTAGGGTCACAACTGTAGTTAAAATTCTGATTATCGTATTTTCTAGTCAACCTTGTAATAAGCCATACATTTGAAAGTATCTACCTATATATATCTGTCTATCTGTCGATATACACATACACACTCCCATATGTATGCATATATACCCACGTGTGTGTATACGTGCATTCGTGAAAATCCAGACTTACTAATATGTCTTTGGACTAGTGCACAAAAATATTGTCCTTTATGGAATCAAAGCTTCTTATGCGTTTTGAGATAATTCATAAAAACATCCCCCTGAAGAAGGAAAAAGCATTTTATCATATTGCATTCTTTTTGGGAACTATGATGAGATACTGTGTCCTAATAACTCTCAAATTTTCTAAGAGTTTTAAGAGCAGAGGCTTGTTTTTCTTTCTAATAAAATTTTGGAGAAATGTGTACCAGTAGATTAAATTATGTCAGAGTCTTTAACAGAAAACACTGTTCTTCTTTCAAGAAGGTTTTTATGTGGCAAAAGGAAAAATAAATGAGCATTGCAAGCAGTTCTGAAAACACAACTGAATGCAATTTGATAAATAGCCTTCCATCACCCAAGCCAGAGCATTGGAAAAGCATGCTATCAGCACTTTCATCAAAGGCACTATTGACTCCTCTTTTCTATCTCATTTTATCATGACTTTCTCATTTTGTTTACTCAGTCAATGATTGGGAAGAAATGACTCCTTACCCCTTGGATGAGTTATGACGGAGTCCACTAGAGACGGGTCCTTTTCTTCATTTTTGCTGCTGCTGCTGCCGCCACTGCCACCATCTCTTTCAATCAGTTTATCCACCATGGCAATAATGCAGTTCAGGCTCTTCCCCACATTGGCCCACACCCTATCCTGAAAAGAGCATGAGTATCACTACGCATTGTTATTGCAGAAACAAGATAAGGCAAAATCTGATGAATCCATTTTGGAGAAGCAGGCAGAGAAGCAATCCTAAGAATGCAAACTGAGTGACTCACTCTACTACTTCCATTAATCTGGCCAGACTATGGATATACAAGAAATCTATTTTCTCTTAACTAAAGTAAAATTTAAGTATTATAAATCTTTTTATTTAGCCCATTTTTTTTCTCTGTCATAAAAGCAATGATGAACTACCATACAATATTAATCCATAATTGAGCACAAATTATGACATATCTATTTTCCTTATCAATACTTAGTAAGAAAGCAAAGACATATCAATATTTTTAAAGAATGTCCACCACTTGCATTAGAATTTTTGTTTTTCTTTTTACTGTGATAAGATGTACATAGCGTGAAGTTTGCCATTTTAATCATTTTTAAGTGCACAGTTCAGGAGCACTAAGTACACTTACATTGTTGTGCAGTCATTACCACCATCCAACTCCAGAATTTTTTCATCTTCCCAAACTGAAACTTTATACCCTTTAAACTTGATTTCCTCATTCTTCCCTCCCCCAGCTCCTGGCAACATCATTTTACTTTCTGTCTCTATGATTTTGACTACTCTAGGCATCAGACATTCTTAAATTGCGATGTTCAGATCACCTCTAATAGAATGATCTAGAGAATTAAAATGTAGGTCCTTGGGTGCCATCAAGTCATTCGGAACCATTGGGAAGAAGGCCCTCTAAATTGAAATGCTGACACGCGTCCCAGGTGCTTCTGACCACACTAACTCAGAGCTTCTACTCAATACTATATGCTTCAGCTCCACAACAAGTCATTTTGGCTGATTTATTTCCTAGGAAGCAGCCTCTACCACTAACGGACCTCTTTGTCACTATCTTCCTAGTTCTGATTACTATTCATTTTTGTTTAGGGCAATACCCAATACTGAGTTCTTTGATTCACAAAATTTTCTATTTTTTAAATAAAAATTTTAAATATAGTCATCGATATCATGATGTTAACCTTGGCTTCTCTTCTGGCTCCTCTTCCCACATCATTTACGTGTAAGCCCTGACTCCCCATCTGTGATGGTTAATTTTATGTATCAATTTGACTGGATCACAGGGTGCCCAGATATTTGGCTAAACATTATTTATGGGTGTGTTTGTTTCCAGATAAAATTAGCATTTGAATCTGTGGACTCAGTAAAGCAGATCTGCCCTCCTCAGTGAGGGTGGGCATCATCTAATCCATTGATGGCCTGAGGAGAACAAAAAGGCGGGGGAAAGAAAAATTCCACCCTTCCCCCTTGACTGCTTGAGCTGACACAACAATCTTTTCCTGCCCCCAGTGCTCCTGGTTCTCAGGCTTTTAGTCCTGGACTGGAATCTACACTGCTGGCTCCTCTGGTTCTCAGACCTTCAGACTCAGGTTGAACTACACCACCGGCTTTCCTGGGTCTCCAGCTTGCAGATGGCAGATCATGGGACTTCTAAGTATACAAAATTGTGTGAGCTAATTCCTTCTAATAAATCTCTTCATATATATATATATATATATATATATATATATATATATATACACATACACACACACACACACATACATATATATATACATATATATGATTTATACACATATATACACATATATATGATTTATACACATATATATGATATGTGCATATACATATATATATATATATATACACATATCCTATTGGCTCTGTTTTTCTGGAGAACTCTGATTAATACACCATTGCAGAAAAACCAAATGGATTTATGGTGCATTTCCTCATCTCGACATAAAGCAATCTTTTGGTAGATGCTTTCCCTGTAATAGAGCAATTTCAGGAACCTAGAGTAGCACTTAGTGCAAAGATAATAGACAACTAAAGTACTTCCTTAGTGGTTTATATATTTTTTTCCCAGATGTATATTTTTTACATAAGTTAATTTTGCTAGTTTATAAACATATAAACTAATTTTGGTTAGGATAAATCTAGGAGGAAAGAATGATAGTAGAATTTAGATTATCTGATGGGTGCTTGTAAAGATTAAGTTAGTTGAATAATTCAACCACATTGAAACAAATATGGAAATGTACTGACATGCCTACTCTAGCTGAGGGGCAAATAGGATTTAGTAGAAAAAGAGTACATTCAAAGTTAGAAAAGGTCAATGTGAGGTCCACTTATGTGATACGCTGCCTATGATACCCGGGGAGAACCACCACATTTCTGGGCAGTTAACAGTGGGGTCCTCTACAATTTAGAATGATGATTCATGCCCTGCCATCCTCACCATACTGCAGTGGAGCCAAATGACATGGTTTCTATGAAAGTGCTTGGTAGAATTATTACAATTTGGCAAAATCACATCCTGTCCCTGTTGGCTTTCCTAATGAATCAAGCTTGTTTTCATCACCCTGTAATCTTGAGTGTGAAATATGCCATTAATCACAAATAATCATAACAATTTTTCCCATAAAATTAGATCTTTCCCCTCAAAGAATTAAAAGCACTTCCCTTCTGCTTTTAACTAAAAGGGAAATTAAGACACCAATCACATCCACAGATTACATCATCCTCTGCCTGTCGTCTGAGAAAATGAAGTGGAGGCACCTCTGAGCCATGAGCCAGGAGACCTAAGAAAGCTCACCTCTTCCAGGAGGAAACACTGCAGAAAGGTAAGCCAGCTGAGGTCCTGACATCACTCATACTGCAATTTGGTAAGGCGCTCACATTTCAGACCACGACAACAAACTAAATGGCCCCATGCTGAATATGCCTTAATCACCACCACCAACTGCATCTTTAAGGCTATTAAATTGAAAAATGAGGCAATTCTTCAGCTAATACTGGAAATAAACTCTACTACTGAGGGGAAAAAAGGGGAGAGGATTGCTCCTAATTTTCCAGATTAGCTTTGTACATGAAGTAAGTTTTCAACTCTCTTCCCGATGCCCATATTGAGAGGAACTTTATATTTTGATGAAAGATCAAGTAGCATTGCACGCTGCCTGTCTTGTGTAAAGTAATATAAGGGGTGGATCAACTGTTCTTAATCACATCTCTGAAGTGCTTGAACAGAAGGTTATTTACAAGGATAATTTTACATTCTATACCTATATATCGTTCTTCTTCCTCTATAGATACCTGAGTTATAGGATTCTACTGGTAGAAAAAGTAGCCTTTGCAGACAGTAGAGAGATCTTTATTGACATGAGGAGCAGAGTGAAGCATGTTCAGTGACCAAGACCAACAACCATATAGTAAAGAGAGGAGGTAAACAGTAGAAAAACATTTAAGTCATTAAATGCTTAGAGGACACACAAGCAGGGAGGATGTTTTTTGGGGGTGAGAAATTGAGCAGTTTCTTCTGTAACATTAACATACAATTAATGTATAATCAAATATTTTATTGAAGGCACACCCAGCAGCAGACTCTGAGCAGACTAATTCTGTTCTTTATCTCTTGGAGAGGAGATCCTGCCTGGTGGTGAGGGAACGCTGAACTTTGCTGGTCATTGCTTCCTTCTCTTTTATGGCATCTACAAAGTAGATTCAAGTTATTGATTTGCACTTCTGTCTCTACTACTAGACTATGAGTTATTTGCACTATATTGTGCAAGGCCTGGAAGAAAGACAGAGAGAAAAGGGGTGAGCAAAGGAGGGAAGAGGAGAGAGATGACTCCAACCCAGACAGAGATTGAGGGCTGCTATGTATAGTCACCTTGGATATGAACATTAGCTAATTTAACCTCAAAAAACACCAGACAAATTAATATTATTGATTCAGTATTTTGGGGGGGCATGGGAAGCTTGGCCATGAGCTACCATCCCTTGTCAGTCTCCCTCTTTTTGTTTCAGGAAGATTGTCACCAAGCTAACACTTGTGTCAATCTTCCTCCATTTTGTATGCAGGATGCTGTCACAGCATGGCTTGATGAGCAATGTGTAGGTCTGTGCTCAGGATCCCAACCCATACAATCTGGGCCACTGAAGGAGGGAACACAAACTTACCCACTACACCACCAGGCTGGCCCCTTGACTCAGTTTTTAGAGATGAGAAGATTTCAGGTAAGAGACGTTGAATAATATTCAACATTAAAATGGTCTAACTGGAGCAGAAATTCTAATTGACTCCAAAGACTTGATTCTTCCCCTATGATTTCCCACAGAACTGTGGTTCACAGTAGGAATTCTTTTTCGTGAAATCACTGGAACTCTGGGGACAAACTAGGCAGAAGAAGGTCAGGAGACAGAGCCTGGGAAGGTTTAGGTAGAGATGTGTGCCATCTACAGGAGCAAGATTAGGTTTCAGTTGTCTAAGACAGATTTTGGCAGTTATCTGGCAGATTCTGGACTAAGAGATGACTCTATAAAAAGGACAAGATGGTTACATATACTTGTAAGTCTAAAATAAAGGGTGTCATATAACCAGGGATGGAGCAATAACTTGGCTAAAGGGTCATTTGGCTTCGGTCAAAGGACATAAGCAGCCAACATTAATAAAGAGCAATGTCAGTATCAAGGCCCAAAATCCATTCACGTGACTGGTATATAAAACAAGGAGTGGGTTGCAAGGAAGACGATAATTCAACTCCTAGGAGATCGGGGGGAGGGGCAAGATAATTATTTTGGAACTAGGATGCTAAAAATAGGTAGACAAGTTTCTTGAAGGGGAGCCTTAAATATCTGATTTCTCTCCTAAACAAGCCACCTTCCATAATATTTCTCTGAAAACATACACACAGAGGAAAATAACCAGCAACAATTCTTTTAGTCTGATGATTTTTACTCACTAGGCTGGTCCACACAGGAAATTCTTTTTGCTTAGACTGCTGGTATGGCTGGGACCTACTCCACTTTGTTCCCTACCAAAATCACACGATTTGTTTCCAAATGTTCTCATGAAGAGGAAAGGCTGATTAGGGAGGAGAAAACAATGGAAGCAAAAGAATGTGGCTGCAGTATC